CAAAATTTCCTCTGTCTAGGAGATGCAGTCGCTTACCTACACGTTTGAATGAAATGAGTGGTGCGAAAACAAAAAGACTAGTAAAAAGCATCAAGGAAGAACGTCTTGTCCACCAATGTTGACCAAACCATTCTTCCATTACACCCAAATGGTGCACCCCGTCTGACCAAATCCCAGATAGGACATCTCCTGTAACCAAATACACATCAGGGATGTTACTTCTCTAATCAATAACCACATTCAGAGAAACTAAAGGAACAATTAATTTTCTTCAGTTGTAAATTGTAAATTGTAATGGGACACTAAACACTAACATTGATGAAAAATGAGCAAAGAGACACACAAGTTCTTGGGTAGATGAAAAGCTTATTTCTAACAAATAAAATTAACTGAGCATTTCCAATTACTAAAAACACTATGGAGTAAATAAATTCAAATTTAAAACCAAATGCCTGTCTTGGAGATAATGGTTTCCGTGTTCATTTAGTTCAGAACTTCTAAGATTTACATATTCTGTCCTAAACTAGTTCAAATTTATTTATATTACAATTCGTAAAATTCAAATCATTAGAATGCTCGTTTTATCATAGTCCTTATATAAGTAACATACTTGTGGTCGGTGGCGGAGCGAAAAATATATTGTTAGGGGGCTGGCATGAAAAATCTATACTTGGGGGAGCAAAACTTAAAATTCCACCATAATTTTTACACATATCTATGTATATCAGCATTTATTGGGGGGCTCAGGCCCCCTCCATCAGCATTTATTCTGTCCATATTCATTTCCTGGTGGTGGACATGCACAGTATAATAGATCCCAAAATGTCTGTGTTCGCAAAACAGATTACACATACCTCATATACTCGATTTAGAAGAAGAAAAATGGAGGTGAAAAAAACTCAACTTTAAAGAAGTTCGATTAAAGTAATTTCGAAAACACTGAAAACCGAGTCATTGCTAAAGGAAAGCCAAATGGGCACGTCCAGATCGAATATACATATAAGAAAAAGTCATTATTCTGGAAAATACACACCAATGATGATCATGTACACGACCAGGGTTCCGACATTGTTAATCACAATGCAGACCTGCAAGAGAGTCCGCGCAAAGCCGCCGAATGTGTCGCCGGCTAGACCAGAGTACGAGAGGGTCTTGGAAGCCTTACTGAATCTGAGTAAGATGTTAATCGACTTCTCCGTTAGAACCGAGGCGAGAACGATGACGATTAGACCCGGAATCGTCCCCAGCTGCTTGAGCGTCGCCGGAAGGGCCATGATTCCGGCTCCGACTATGGTGGTAGAGAGGTTAAAGACGGCTCCGGAGTATGAAGCGCCATCGAATCCCCCTTCAGCGTGCTCCAAATCGTCGGCCTTCTGGGCGAGGAGCGGGGCCGCCTTAGGGCTCCGGCGGTGCTTCCGGTCGCCAAATGGCATATTTGTGATTCCGTTAGATTAGAGGGATTTTACAAAATTAATTACTACAAGGACAACGAATCGTTCGTTACTTCGTTATGTGGGAAAAATGTATACGTACGTATTTGTAGCCCCCAGACAGGCTACGACATTAAACGGGAACCCACTCCTATAAAATCATGAATGACTTGTCATAAAAAATGACCTTGCACCGATAGCTCAATTCATAAAACTGTCAAAAAGTTGAACAAATGAACAAAGATCGAAACTCGTAGAGATCGTGTGAAAGTCGCAACTTCAATGTTTTGGGTTCAATGTTGTTGAAATCTCGATTTAAATCCTAAAATCGTACGATTTTACGATTTTACCTTAATAAATCGATTCAAATCGCAGGTAAAATCGTAAAATAATAAAATCGTAAAAAATCGTACAACAATCGTGTAGAATCGTTTATAATCGTAGCAAAATCGTAATGAGTTTTTTTTAGTGAAAATGGTTCATATTTATTAAAATTAACCACTACAAATTGATACATAATTACAAAAATAATGATACCGATAGTATATTTAAAAATGTAATGGATTATTCTGTTATTTAATTATTTTTATGTTTTACATATGTTTAATGCTATTACTCACTATATTTACATTATTAAAATAGTTTATAAGTCTTGTTTTGGACCTTGTAGGTATAATTTTATCTAATGAAATGATATAATATCATTAATTTCGAGCTTAATATTAATAATTATTTATTTTATAATTATTAAGATATGTTTGATAAAATCTTACGATTTGCGATTCAATTTTACGATTCGATTTTCAAAAACATACACCGATTCGATTCAAAAATACGATTTTAACAACCTTGGCTATGTTGCGTCTCTGGTGTGCACGGATATAAGGTCTACCACCGTTATGATTGATTGAGCCACCGTGATTTACAACCTTCCATGTGCTCTGTCAGGTCGGGGCGTGGGGGGTTGGGGGCCATTAGGGTTGGGGATTCAGCCTTTTGGACAAATAAATGACCTGCCATTTATGAGTCTGTATTGCCATACAGTCGACCGTACGATTTGCACTGTACAGTCAGTGACATTTTGGTAATTTAAACGAAATTCTTGACTTCCGTTATACGAGCATTAATGTACATTTTACGAGCATCAGATCTATTCTACTGAGTATTGAGAATCTAATAATGAGTATCGTGATATCAGCTTTTAAAATATCTACAATGAACATATATGAATCGAATATGTGAATTTAGTGTAATACTCCCTCCGTCCCCCAATTAAGTTCTCGGTTTGACTTCACACGTATTAAGAAAATAATTTTGACTTTACTGTGGAGTGCACTGTTTTGCACTGTTCAAACACTGTATGACACTATTTGGCACTGTTTTGCACTGTTTGACACTGTTTTGATGTAAATAATTTGCCAAATAAGGAAAGTAAGGAAGTGTGAACTTAATTTAGGGACTGCCCAAAAAGGAAAGTGGTAACTTAATTGGGGTCGGAGGGAGTATTATACTTTCAAATTATACATGAATATGACATTTTAAAATGAGTACACCAATACCAAATGAGCATACATGAATTACGAAATGAATATCGAAAAAAATTAAAAAATCTCTACTATGCCTAGAATTTCATTTGTGTATGCTCTATCTTTTAAATTATGCATAGCATAGGTTTCTCCAGAACCAAAAAGCGACCAAACTCATCAAACTTGAGTAAGAACAAGAGGAAACGAAAACAATGCAAAGAAATAAAGACGAAGGAGAGGCTGTCCGAGTATGCACCGCAAAAACCATCCATATCCTCCGTTGAGAGCTCCATCATCACATATCCGAGGGGCGAGCTAAGCAAAAGTGGCGAGGAAGCGAGGTGGAGGAATGAGTGTGCGAAGTCCATCATTGAGAGCTCCATTGTCGCAGATCCGACTGTGCACGCGAAGCTCTGAGGAACGACGAACGGTGCTCAACGAGCAAAAAGCTTGACTATACCGTGCGCATGATACAGCCGGTTGTATGATATATTTTACCGCCGTTTACCCGCACGGGGTAGTTGAATTGGTTGAGTGGTGGAAAATTGGAGGAATGACCAAGGTTCGAAACCCGCAACGACCGTGTGGAGGTTACAGCTCCTGCGTGTTGGGCTAGACTTCTTATGTGCACGGGTATAAGCCCTACCACCATTGGGCTGACTAAGTCACCGTGATTTACATCCTCCTATATACCTTGTTGGGTCGGGACGTAGGGGACCCTTGGGTTGGAAATTCAACCATTTGAAGGAACAAATGACCGGCCGTTTGGACTAATAAAAGTAAAAATACTATGGTAAGAAAACAAGGAGTAAAGTAAGAGATAAATTTGGGAAGAAAAACACTTCTGATTTCTGAAGAGATATAATATATATTCCCCGTATATAAAGTAAGGTTGTTTGGCATTTAGCGGTACGATTAGCTGATTATATTAGCAGATTCAGTTAGCCGATTTGACTAATGGAATAATATGTCGGGTTGCAAAAAAATATTTGATAATTTAGTTATTTGACTGTAACAATTACTAGGAAATGTCATACTTGAAAATGCTAACTTAAAACGTTGTTATTTACATCATTTTTATTTTAACGATTCAATTCATAAACGTTAAAGTCGAATAACTATTTACCAAACATAATGTCATTTTTAAAACACCCCCATAATGTTTTTGTTCAATGAACGTGAATTCTTTTAATTTTTTTTCATCTTTAACATCCGTGATATCTTTATGAACCTCCATATTGAAATATGCGATTTACAGCAACACTAAGGGTCTGGTTACTAACAGAGATATTTTTCAGTTTTTCAGAAAACTAGAAAACTGGAAAACACAAAACAAAAAACGTGTTTACCAAAAAAAATCCGGAAAACTGGAAAAAGGAAAACAGAAAACACGTTTACCAAATAGTTTTCCAAAACAAAAAAAAGAGATATGTCTTTGTTTTCCTTAATGAATTGGAGAAGTGACTTTTATCAGTTTTCCAAATATGGAAAACGTGGATGCTGCAGTGCCGCTGCAATGAATTTGCATACTTACGCCTAGTGTTGGATCCGGTCCCACTCGGTGTCAGTTCGAGTCTGATCTGATCAAAGACCCGACGGTCCCCATCTGGTCCGGTCAACAACTCGGCGGTCCGGTCTAGTCATTGACCCAGTGGTTCATGTCCGGTCCGGTCGACGATCGAGCAACCCCGGTCCAGTCTGATCGATGACCCAACGGTGCCGGTCCGGTATTGGTATTGGTCCGATCGACGAACCGACGGTCCCTATCTTATCCAGTCAATGGCTCGACGGTTCAATCTTGATTTTTCGAAATCATTTTTTAAAGTGAAGAGTTTTAAAAGAGCCATTGAGTTGTCAACCAATAGGGAAATGAGAAAAGAATTCATCAAACTAAATGTTGAGATCAATCGAGACCGACCGGTTTCAGTCACAATTTTCCTATATGTGGGACCCAGTACCCTACTTGGGTTGTACTAGGTTTGGTTCCGGATTGGGATCGTATTTTCCGTCTTTTGTCAGTCAAAGAACCAGGTGAAAAAATTGTGTGAACATGTTTTCAGATTTGAAAAAGTCCAATATATAAATAAAATTGCAAATAGAGAGCAGGATGGTTTCTGAATAATACTACCATCCTGAAGATATTTCACTGTAACTGCTTAGATACGACACATACATGTTAATACAAACTACTACAAGCTACCAGGAAACCAAAGCTTGAAAAGATGATCAGAGGGGTAATGAAGAAGTTAACTAGCTAGTAACCACACGTCATGGATTAAGCAGGTAGCAGCATGGTTACGTTATCGCTTTCTCTTCCTTTTTGACTTGCTCCCAGTTTCACCCTCCCGTTTCTTGGTGGATCCACTCAGTTTGGCACCAATGGCACTACTCCATAAGGCCCTTTCGATGTCGGATGGTGTAAATGTTTCACCTTTGGCTGTTAATTCCTGAAAATGAGTAACCACCAATCTATTAAATTCGTAGGAATGCCTAGACCAATTGCACATTCAGAAAAGTCAAACGAGAAACACACTCCTACAACACCATCTGCCATTTCCGCTTTTTCGGTAGACTGTCATTACATACTTCATGCTTGTAAGAAAAACAAGGAATAGGATAACAATCTATGAATATATAAAACATGGTCTACAAATTTATGATAATTTATTCTACAATGTACTAATCTATGAGAGCGTGAAATTTGTACCAACACATAACTTTGATCATGTAAACCCTTTTGAAATAAGGTGCAAAGACTCATTAGTTTACTCCAAAGAGCACAATCAGCACATATGCCCTTTATTTTAGCGCGAACAAAAACTATAACATGGGTCATATAAGCCCTTATGAACAGAAATTTCATCTTTGTTATATTGAACATTTAAACCCCATTCTAATTTGAGTAATTTCTAGTATATGCTACGTATAAATAATGAAAATAATATGAGTACACTTTTATCTTTCTTTCAAACAGACCACATATCCGTCTCTCTCATATTTACACTCAATCTTCCACAGTTTTCGTAAACTCCTCTCAGACCCAACAAAAACTTGGTCTTCCCAAGTCTTGTTTTCTTCATCTTCAGTTACCGCAAGCAGATAAATGACATATATAGAATCTGGAGAGTCTTTCTAGATGGCTTAACCACAAAGAGAATATCCAGTAACTTTTCCAGAATACTTGAACTGCAACCACGTTTGGCTAATAAGTAATAGCTTCATACAAAACAACTCACACAGGGTTGATTTTTTAATCTTCTTATTATCCTTTCCAAGCACAGTGCCGGTTGTTTGAGATTGGACAGAAATAATTAAACCACAACTTGTGCCAAGAAAAATATTGTGCATTGCCAAGTTGTGGAAGTATATTTGACAAATCAGAAAAATCACCAGTCTCCTCACTTCCTCGTAGTTTCTACAACCAAGAGCTTAATTCCTTATTTATAGAATTATATGTGGGGCAGTGGGAGAAAAGAAAGGCTAAAAACTTATGTACTTTATACCTATTGAAGCTCTATTGTGTAATCAACTGTGAGTCATCACTCAAGCTCTCCTGTGTGATATAAAGAAATTGGCAAGCTCAAAAGTTACAACACCTGCGAACAACTTACTACTCTGACCTTAGTAAAAAATGCACATCAATTGTCAAACTATGAGTTATACTTCTTCCATAATCACTATATGAATCCCCAAGTTACCATAAATCACAAACTCCTTCTAGACCTTACCTAAACTTGCTAAAAGTCCAAAACTGCAAGCTCTAATTTCATGGTAGTTCTATCCTAACCCTAAGGGGTAGCCAAGTTGGTTGAACAATTAACATGGCGGCTGCAAGGTCCAGTCTTTAAATCTTACCAAGTACTGCCTATAAACAATTTACATGCTTCACCCAGTGTGCACCACAAGACAGCGACTGCCGGTTCTAATGTCACTGAAAATGATACTTCTATCCTAAACACATTTTGAGCATTAAAATGAAGAAGCATTTGCCATCAACAATCAATTACATAATTTCCAACAGTTGGGGATATAGTATTAATGCAAATGCCTCGTTACCAAAATAACTGTAATTACATCCAATTCAATCAAACTAAAATATATCCAGCATAGTCACCTTAGCTTTCGCCTGTAGCTTGTCCAGGAAAACTAAATACTGTTTCAGAGTGTAATCTTTGGAGTTACCAATGGCAGTATCCATTGCCTAAACCGGAAAATGGATCAAGTGCGTATTAATAAGTAACGAAAAAAATAATTTTAGAACTTATAAAGCAGCAGAGCAGATGTGTTGTGGAAATAATACAAGGCATGTAGTATGAGAATTACTTCATCAGACATGAACGGTGCAACATCAGGGGCATAAGCAGCCAGAACAGCTGAGGCAGTGGCGGGACCAACACCTTTCAAAACCGTAAGCTCCGAAACGGCTTTGGATACGTCCGGGAGAGAGTGAAATGCTGCCTGTGAAGCCGATTTGACTACGTCATCATCTAACGACGACACGAAATCCAAAAGCCTCGGCCTGCAAAATGGAAATCGTATTTGACGATTAGTATCCAACACTAGAGGAGAGAACAAGAGGAACATACGAAACGTCTTTCGTGCCTCCATTTGCCACGGGTGAGCTTCCATTGCATGAGCTTGGTGAGTTCCGACGTGGTGATGTACGGACTAGGGTCCCGTTGACGGATGAGAAAGGGGAGTTCGTTCCGGTAGAAGCGGTCTAGAGAGATGAGATTGGGCTTATCCAAGGCTTCGATACGGGCGTCGTAGGACAACAATGCCTCTTTCCAGAGGCTCAAATCGGAGCAGTTAAATTCCATTTTTGGTTACTCCAGTGAGCATGCGCTCTGCTTTCTTGCCGAGTCGCGGTTGGCAGGCGACTTGCCGTTTCCCTGAAATGAAATTATGAAATTATTATGCAGCTGTAGAAATATCAAATAAGCCTTTAAACTTACGTAAAAAAAATGTAAATAAGCTCTTTTGTAGGAGTTTCTGTCGGTCCTTCATCATTTGGAACGGTTTCCGGGAATTTTTTGATCATTTTTTGAGCATCTTTTTCATTAAGTCTAGTTTATCCATACCAAATTTCAGATAAAACTTCAACTGAGAAGACAGTTAAATGATTTTCTGAAATATACTGTGTTCTTTAACTGCGCAGTTATCTTCAAAAATTCATTTGAGTGCCTTCACGATTGAATATTTAGCTGAAATTTGGTATGAGTAAACTAGACTTAATGAATAAGAAGCTCAAAAAATTTCGTTGAAATATTCCACCAGAAACCTCATCAAATGTCGACGACCGGATAGAGCCTCCTATAAAAGCGCTTATTTGCACTGTTTATGTAAGTTTGAGGGCTTATTTGACTGTTATCCCACTAATTTATGGAATATCAGTACATTTGGGTAATGAACCAACGTGCTATTGGACCGAACCGTTTTAAAATATTATTTTAATAATCTCTATTATATTTAATATTAGTATAATAGAATATACTAACAAGACACGAAAGCTCTTCATGTTCTTGTGTCTAGATAAAAACTTCCCATTAAAGAAACTTTTCACTCTACTAAAAATAATTGCCAAGTCCGTATAATTAAACTCATAAATTATTTTCCTCTATATATAGTATTTCAAATGCTTCAAACTTTCTTTCTTTAATATTGTTTGTAAACAAAGACTCTTACTCAATGAAGTGTGACATATTCATTTAATTATCTTAATTTTACTTATACTTAGAAGATTTAATAAGCTTTAAATTGTTTTCATAGACAAATATGTACAGTAACTAGTTTAATTTCTTATGAATTTATGATGCTATCTTTTTAATTAGTTTATGAATGATGATTAATACATTGATTAAGGTGGGTTGTGTGTTGTTTAATTTATAGATTTGTGGTTCGATATTTTGTTAACTAATTTAAAATTTTCTCTTATAATTATATTTAGATTTTTTATTATATTTTGGTTACATTAATAGGTAATTAATTTGAGAATTTTATAACTTACTAGAAACTTTGCTTGTATAGCCGTATTTTTTTTTATAAAAGAAGAACCGAAGACTCGGACCGAACCGGCCCGTTTCAAACGGGGCGGGTAAGAGGTTCAATTTCTATTTCGAAATATGGTATACCCGGACCGAATCTACTCATTAAATGGAACCGAAAATTCTTGAAAAATTATTAATTACACGAACCGACCCGAACCGTGGCCATCCTTACTTCTACAACATCAAAATTGTTCCATTGAAGAGAAAATTAGATGTGCACAGTAAGATATGGTGCACCGAGAACACCTAATTAAAATAGCACTCCTATAAGGAGGTGACCGCTCGTTCCCACCACACGATTTCCAGAAGAGCACACTGATAAGTGATAACTGCGAGCTTCGTTTCGGCTGTGGCCTTCCATTCCATTCCATTCGGCAGCCAATTGACCGTTCATCCAAATATATTCAGGTATTTCATTTTCTGCTCGGTTTCTTCGTCTCCAGTCTTCGCTGGTTCAACTTCTCAACCCTTATCAATCAATGTTTCAATTACCCAGACATGAAAGCAGATTTAAGATATATGTATCACCTATGGCTTATTTAGATCTATCGTTAACTGTTCCAAATCTGAAACACCGCTCTACTGATCTTCCATTAGCCCTATGTTTTCAGAGATGTCACACACCAGATCCTATTTTCACGTTTCTGATAAGTATTTGATGTGCTGTTTATGGTATGTGTCATTTTCTGCCAAAATTGCGGTCTTTTTTTCTGCCAAAATTGCGGTCTTGAATCTGTGTTTGTCAGGCTATGAATATTAGGAGCTTCTATTACATCAAATATCTGTGTTTATCTCGACTTTTGAATGAATTTATACAATTGATGGCAGTATATCCTTGATGCCACCAGCTGATAATGGTCATGATAATGATGTGCCCGCAATACAGACAGTACAAAATAGGGTTTTTGCGTCATTGCTTAGGAAAAAGAGAATTTTATGCAGGGATGCTACATTGCTGTTGTGAATTTGTGATAAAGGCTGGGTTTAGTTGTATATGAGCTTCCAATGAGTTCCACAAAAGTCCAAAGCACTGGGTAGTTGTTAAACATGGGATAATAAGGGTTATATTTTTGGGAAATGAATGATCTCCCATCACCTGCCAAATGAGGAAGTTGTTTTCCTGAATCAGTGTTACTGTTTATACAACAACAACAACATCCAAGCCTTAGTCCCAAAAGATATCAGTGTTACTGTTTATGTTCCTTTTATTGCTAGGTAACTCTATAGTTTATACCATACATTAAACAACTTATCCTTAAGATATTATTTTCCTCAAGCAAAGGTTTTCACCACCAATTTTATTTACAGCAAAAAACAAAGACCTGGTGTAAGAATGTTTCCTGATATTTCTGCATGCCATATCCCAAATAAAATTAAAAATATGGCACTAATAAGCAAAATGTGATCATTTTTTCACACGAGCAGAACATAGTAATCGTCTAATCGATATTCAGAAACTTCATGTATTATCTGTTTTTCCTAATTATTATATTCAATTTTAGTCCAGTGAATGAACTATTGGCATTGTCAAATTTTAGGTGACCATGTCGACTGCAACACTTCCATCCACCTGCATGTTCAGAGTGACACCTTCTACCCAACCAAAGATAGCATTTATCAAGAATCCATCATCCTCAGTTTCTGTGAAGAGGAGTGTGTCCATATCATTTGACGGCTTGAGAGCTGACCGTTTCAGAGCAAATGCTACTGCACACAAGGTTAAACTGCTTGGTCCTGATGGCGTTGAGCATGAGTTTAAGGCATCTTCTGATACATACATCCTAGATGCAGCTGAGGAAGCAGGAATCGATCTGCCTTATTCATGCAGGGCCGGTGCATGCTCCAGCTGTGCTGGAAAGATCACTAAAGGCTCGGTTGATCAATCAGATGGATCTTTCCTTGATGATGACCAAATAAAAGAGGGATATGTATTGACTTGCATTGCTTACCCAACTTCAGATTGTGTCATTGAGACCCACAAAGAGAGTGATCTTTACTAGGTATTTTTAAATTAGGTCATCATTCCCTTGTCATGCTAAGCACGAGAACTATTGGGGGTTAGCCTTCAAATGTGTGCTTTTCATTCAATTTGGTTGTTTGTGTTGATGTAAACGAATCAAATATGTCATGAGTTTCATGAGCTATCTTGGTTTCCTAGAAATTTATTTTTCTTAAATAAATAACCCGAACTTGAGCCTATGAGCCTTTACTCATAGAGTTTGTGAATTCTAATGATTTGAAGAACTGAGACCCCATGAATACTTTTATTTGAAAGATCTCGAATGTGTTTGTTTATCGACTCATTTGGTAGGCTTGACTCACATCAACTGGTTCATTAGTAATGTACAGTTTTACACACACACATGGGTGGACTCAGGAAAGTCATCTTGCGGGGGCGAAAATATTTTTTGAGGGTTCAAAATATTTTTTCGGATGGAGAAAATTATTTTTCATATATATATACACTAAAAAAATTCTTGTTGGGGGCGGTAACCCCTCTGGGTCTGTACTACGGTATGCCCCGGTATGCCCCTGCACACACACATGGAGATCTCATTGAGAGCACTTGATGAGATTTGGACATTTGGTAGGACTGTTTTTTAATTTTTGGCCAAAAAGAGTTCTAAATGTCTAGATCTATCTTTCATTAGTATCAAGTGTCAATTGTGATTGAACTTCATTGCCAAAAATAAAATATTTCAGGGAAACTTTATATGACGAAAATATTCATAGATTTCTAAACTATCTAATATATGATTATGAAATCTAAACATGCTTCTATATAAGTAACAATTAAATTGAATGGAGAAAAAGTAACATGAAAATTATATATCATATTGGGAATAAAAAACTGTTTACTCATATTTTAGGGACCCCGTTGTTTATCAGGCGCCTATTTTGAATTGTATTATGACTTTATTATGTATACATTTTTTTCCCTTGTTTTGTTAATTTGGAAAATGTTTTTAATTGAAAACGACCACATACTACTTTTCCCTATTCTTACAGCATTTGGAGACCATTGATCCTGTTTTTGAAGTGCTCAAATTCAACCAATTTTCACCGAACGTAACTTTTAATTTCACTGGTCCTTTTTTATGTGTTAGGTTTGACTTAGGGGTAAAACTGTTTATTATCGAGATTCATATTTATAAAAATGGGAAAAAATGTAAACTACTCAGAAAACAAGAAAAAGGAAGATTGGAAGTAAATATAGGGGATCTTTTTGTCTATGAACACATTTTTAAGATATTTTATTTGGACTGTTTTCAGTTTCATACCAAACCAAATCAGACCAGAATTGATATAAGAATGGAACTCCCAAAATTAACTTTGGGGTAGGACTTTACAGGTTTTTAAATAGAAAAAGAAGAAGTAAAAGATCTGCTCTCCAAAATTATCCTTGGTATAATAAAGGGATATACTGGTCCAAATACATTAAAGGAGATAAATGAATGATAAAGCCGTAGGCAAATGTGTACTTTCAAAGTAAATGCTTTCTTTTTCAACAAAAAGTAATTCTTGTAATTTATTTGGACTATAATTTGTTGGTCTGGTCTGAACAAGTACCCTACATCCGCTTTTATTGGGAGATAGTGACCTACAGGCTACAACCGGAAAAACAAGTCATGCAGACATGCAACACCTTTTACTTCATTCCTCTCTGATGCCCCAAGAATTTTCCCAATTAACTCAATCTTAATTACTCCGTACAACATTCAATGTATTATGAGAAATAGAGACTGCAAGCATTCGAATTCAGAATAGCAAAACCTACACGCAGAAATTCTACTCTTAATAATATACAAATAATGGCATTCTCGAGAGATGAGTATAGACACAAATATTTCCTAGTATATCCTCTTCTCCATCTTGGATCAAGCAAAAAAGTAGGCTTTGCCATACATATACTACAGCTCAATGCTTTTCTTATTTCTATACAAATAAATAAGATGACATTAAGAATATATATATGTGCAGCCTATAAGATGTGATGCAAAAGGTTATTGCTCTTCCAGGATTCAGTGATCCCCAAGTCCTCAAATTGGCAGGGTATGAAGAACATGTTATATGTTGTGTGTCATATGACCTCTCTAAAGGAGCAGATTGTTCATCTGTTCATATCATTTTTTCTTTCCAACTTTATGGCCTCATAAGACCTCATAACCTCTTTAAATTTAGCTTCGGCAAACTCTGCGCCCAAAACAAAGGCATAGATATGTCAGTCAACTGATTTTGAGTTTACCACTTCTGAAGATTACTGATAGTATATGATCATCCCACCTTTTTTGTCCTGGTTCTGATCGGGATGGAACTCCATAGCCTTCGCCCTAAAAGCTGTCTGCATTAAAGAAAATGCAAAACGTCAAATGTTCACCTCTTGTGCAACACATCAAGATGTTGAGTGCGAGCTACAAGGGGATCAATAATGGGATTGATGTCAGCCCAAAACAGTTGATTACAAACTCAGCTATAATAATAATAGCATCATGACAAACATTGCCCTCATTGGAGAATATCCAAATGACCATAATAATATGTGTAATATTGGTTTAGACATTTCCCACATGGTTTTGTGACTTCTTTTATCAACGCCTGGTAGCCTACACACACAAAAGCAAAAGCACATATACATGTGTGGCTGAACAAATAAAGACTATTGGGCTCATCATCAATTGAATGGATTTTCTCTCTTCAACTCTAGCTTAAGGTTGTCTTGTGTTGGTCTGTTGAATGGATTGGTGAGAGGCAGTAGTCCCTCGTGAGACTCATGTCAATCCTCTCAGGAGATGGCAAACAATTTATTATCGAATGTATTAAAGATGGGCCATCAGTTCCTGTCAAGAGGGTCATCACATCAAGTTGGGTTTAAAAAATGTACCCTCTTTCACATTATATTGTTACGCTTCCTTCTATGAAAGTTTATTATTACTTGCTTCACTTTCCAGTTTTTGCAACTTTTTCTACTGTTTTTTACCCCGGGGGTAGGGAGTAGGGGGTCTGCGGTAAATAGGGCTGAAACTGCTTCCATGAAGTTTGAGCCCAAGACCTCCCGTATGGGAGAGTGAGTCGGCAACGAGTGAGCTTGACTGCTTCCTCCAACATCTCCTATTGTTTCATCTCTAAAAGACATTAATAGTCTTACTTTTTATTCATTTCTTTCCATCTTTTCCTACTTTTTCTTGTTCTCTCTCCTACTTTTTTACGCTTTCTAAATTATTTAGTCACTCTACAACTGTACCCAAATTTAAAGAACTTAAGCCCAAGACTTGTAACGTTTCAGGTTGATTAATAATTGTCCAGTTTTTACTTTGCTACTTGAGTGTGCCTTAATCTCTCTGTCCGAAAAAAGAGTCAAGTTTCAAGATTTGTTGTCGCAAGTGAGCAAGTGAGTTGTAGCTTGGATTGAAGTTTTAGGGGAGCAAGTGAGTTGTAGCTTGTAAAAACTCCTACTTTGATTGAGTTGACTAAAGATAGAAAATTCTGCCTTAATAAAAAAAGACTCTTTCTTTGGGATAAAGGGAATAGATTCTTTTGTCTTGAATTCAAGCACTTCATCATCACCTCACCACTTTAATCCCCAACTGTGTTGGGGCAGTCGTATGATAATCATAGTCACTCGATTGTCTGACACTAAACACTACAAATTCATGTACAGAAATACTTGTTAATAAATATTTTCTCTCGAATTCATGTTGATTAAACCAATTGCTTTTTCCCTTTCTTAGAGCACTTCCAAAAGGATAGTTTGCAATGGCACATATATGCAATATGCTTGCGTAACAGAAAAAGAGACACGTGAAAGTGATATTCCTTCATTTAAAGCTGGAAACCAGGTTTTAATAAGCAAGAACAAGATAAATACCTTTATTTCATCATCTGTATATGGTTTTGCCCTCAACCTGTTCAGAGAGCAATCCAGACCAGAATATTAGCTCTGAAGTTAGTTCTTTTTTATACAATGTATAAGCCAGGTATATACTTTGTGCGACCTACACTAACAATATACTTTGTGTGACCAACATTAAAAATATGAAAATGTGAACGTCAAGGAAACATTAAGTGACACTAGAAAGAAGGAAATATTACCTCGTCCCAACAAGAATCATATTTGACCAAGACAACTATTTTATTTTGAAAGGTATCTCCGTACTACTATTTATTTAATCCTACTTAAATATTTTTTAATTTATGTGTTGGTTTAACTAAATTTACCGACAGAATATTAACTAGTCAATGACTATGTTATGGGATCTGATATGAAAAACTAGCTTCAGTTATTTGACACAGAAAGAATCTTTTTTGAAACAGATAGTACAAGGGGAAAGAAGTGCAAACATGAAACAGATTATTTACGAGGAAAGTATAATAACAAAACAGTATGTTGGCCCATCGACCACTAAATGACTATCTACGATAATGACTCCTACCTTTGAAGACCCAATACTGAATAGTGATGTGAAAGCATTGGGTAGCTTGAATTTGCCCGAGGAGATTCCTTGAAATGGGTCCCCTGCTCCCTGTATGTTGTATCAGCCTTCCAATACCAGTCATTTCTTTGGGAATGTTGATGATATGCCCCTCTTCCATTTTCTGTCCAGCTTCCATACTCTTTTTGGTATTTATTTCTTTGTCTATTGAAAACACTTTGCATGCGTCGTATCCGTTCCTATTTACGATAAATAATTATGATAATACAATCAAATGCTAGTTATACAACAATATATATGTGTGTGAGTGTATATGTATATATTTTGGTTCAGATAAGAAGTTGGTGTTAAAAGAGAGAAGAAAGTCAATCAAATGCAAATATGCAATGGATTTCAGATCTAAAGTTTATAAGGATTCCAACAGTGCATCAAATATGTAATAAAAACGGCAGCATTTTCATAAATAGACTAAACTTTGTAGTCACTGTGAATAGTGCACTACTCGGCACAATAGCTTATACTTTCATTTTAACGGTCATACATGTGTGGGTGCGACTGGGCGAGCGCCTAAAGAACCTCAACAATAAGTCTTTCAGCTTCACACACATTGTTTACACACACACAAAGAGACTATAAAAGTAAGGCTTTAATAATAAAGAGAAAATAAATCCAAGTCTCCTGCTAACTTTTGACCTCATGTAAGTGGTTCAAATTTGCACTGTTATTATGCTAGTTAGGTTCGGAAACATGAAAAAGATGTGAAGAACAAATGAACAATCCTACCAGTCTCTCCATTTCATCTTCATACTCCTCCTGCATACGTTGATTGTATCTTTTCCATGCTTCCTCTCTAAAACTTGTACCAAAATTCCGCCCAGATTGCATCCTGGTCAACTTTTGAAATTCAATAGTATCAAATAATCAATATAAGTTTAAGAAATAAAATTCATGTTCAAATCCACCACACGATTAACCTTTCTATTTTACTCTGGGAAAGGGATTATGCAGAAGTAAAATCCATTAAGGCTATTTAGATAAGCCATAAGGGACACCAAAAGTCACAGTGAGGAAAGATAATGCTTAATATTACCTGAGAGTAGACCCAGTCAACCGTCCTTCGCAACCTCGAAGCCTGGGGAATCACCAAAATTTTACAAAGCTTAGAAGAAGCCCCAGAGTATGGACTGTATAGCTATTCTAGGATTTCAATCATAAGCACTCATGAACTCACTGGATCAAACGCGTGACCTGGAGATTTCTCCCAACGTCATAGTGAAGAACAGATTGTAGTGCACGAGTTAAGATACATGACACTTGAGTGAAGGGAAGTTGTCCATATTGTAGAAAGATTACAAACTTAAAAACTGTTACAGTTTTATTGTAGCTTGTAAAGGCAATCTCTTTTCAAAAGAATATCTCAGTTGGTAATTGAAGACATGGACTCTTTAAAAAAATACCTACTAAGGAGTAGGTATATTTTTCTTCAACTTTCATATCTAGAACCCATGCTCACTCAAATCTCAACTCACACATAATCCCCAACTTCTGAAGTAGTGTACAAATGCAGATGTGCTAAGTTACTGAACATTTAAGGTCGCAGATTACAAAATTATGCTAAGTTTCTGCAATACCTATAAGCAGAAACTAAACTAGAATAAAATAAATTTCTCCATGAGCCTAAAACGTCATCAATAGGCAGAAGAGAATTCAGTAATTAAAAAAAATCAATGTCCAAATCTCGTGGTCACGGACTTCAATAGAAAATGCTAGAAAAGCTATGTATGTGGGAAAAAACAGAACTTACGGCGATCGTAGTGGCAGAAGCTCCGATTAGCCCGAAAACAAGAACCTTCCAGAGCATCGTATCCTCCTCTTCTGGAGGTTGATGGTGGGAAGGATTATTCCTCTTCTGTTCCTCGCTCATCGTGACCCTACTGCTGTTCCAGAGCTCATGAATTGAATTAGATTTAATTTAAAGGCAATTCAAACTCACTTCTAAACACAAGCTCGGACAGGCACTCCGGCAAAACATACCCACATACAGAGGACGATAGTTTGATTCAACTCGTTTTGCAATTTGCCTGCGGAGTATATAAGAATGGTTTTTTTACTCTAGTGGAATAGGGTCTCAAACTCATTTGGTATAAGTTTTCATTTAAATAACTTTAACATATAACATAATATAGATTTTAAGTTCTCAACTTTACCTTTTTAACTCGTGCATTACTCATTCCTTTAGGATATTTTACTTCTTTCTCAATCGTAATTGGATATATGTAATTAAAAAAATTATATTTTATAAGTTCGAGTTCAAATAAGATGATCAATATCGAGCTACACAAATAATGAGAAAATAAATAAATAAATAAATAAATAAATAAAATTATTGATGAATTAATAAATAAATAAATTTATTTATTAAATTCATCTATTATTTTATCTATTTATTCATTTATTTATGTATCCATTCGTTCATTTATTTATTTATTTATTTTATTTATTTATTTAATTATTTTCAATTTCTCATTATTTTTTTGGATCGATTTCGAGCATCTTATTTGAACTCAAACATATAAAATACAATTGTTTTTTATAATTACATATATCTAATTACTTTTTTGTCATAATTTTTAATTGGCATTTTGTTTTATAATTGAATATCTCAAATTAAAATTCACAAATTCTTTAATTATTTGAGAAAGAAGTAATATAGCATAAAGGAACGAGTAATGCACAAGTTAAGAAAGTACATCTCAGAACTTAAAATCTATATTATCCTATATGTTAAAGATATTTAAATGAGAGCTTATAACAAATGAGCATTGTAGTCAAATGCTTCTTGCACTACTATGAAGTAGATGAGAGGTTGTGGGTTCAACTCTCACTAGTGACGTATCATTTTTTCACTAAATAAAACACACACAAATTTGATGACATGGAATGATCAGCAACTATGTGGCATCTGTGACGTGGCAGGTTGGATGACATGGCAAAAAAATACCCTAGTTTAGGAAATAAGTTTAAAAGTACCCTATTTTTGGGAAATAAGTTTTAGAACTACCCTACTTTGGGAATGAACTCCCAACTAAAATATACTATTTAAAAGAATCGAAATGACATTACAAAATGAACACATAACATTTTAAAACAATGACATTTGTATATATCTTGTACACATCATGCCAAGTCCGGTTACATGCAATTATTGTCAGTAAAATTTGCTCAGAAACTGATATGCGCTAATTAGTAGTGCATAAGTGTATGTTTTTATGTTGGACTTAAATGTATTGTTTATCGTTTTATTTAGTTTATAAACATTTGTGTGATTTTAGTTGTAATTGTATTTTAATCTTCATTTGTAAGTTGTAAAGTAGAATTAGGAATTATGGTGTTGAAAAGGAGGACTTTGAAGTGAAGGAAAAGGAGGTTGGACTGTCCAGGAGCTAAACCCCGATCGGGTATGACACTTGACCCGGTCGGGTATGATTTAACACACGAAACTGCCTGGAAAATCACTGGACCCGGTCGGGTCAGATGTGACCCGGGACAAAACGACGTGCTGAAGATCACCAGAATGTGGAGGATATCTGATTTTGATCGGACCCAGTCGGATAGGCACTTGACCCGGTCGGATACTCAGCCCAAGGTGTTGAAAAACACCTATAAATAGCACACTTTTCCTTCACAAATACTCATCCCTTCTTCTATACTCTTAAGCTCAGTTTAGAATAACATTTCTTTATATTTTTTAGCTGTGTTTAGTCTCCAAATGAGGAGCTAAACTTCCATTCTTGGTGTTGCTTTTGAAGCTTGCTGATTATTAAAGTTGTGAGTTATTTTCTTTACTTTTTCCTTTGAATATTAATTATTAGTTCTTTCCTTAATACTATCTCTATATTAATGTTGAGGAGTGTTGCTAAGATGACAATTAGTTAACATCTTGACATTAGTTAGAGTGGTATTTTCTTCCTCTATATTAATGTTGGGGGGTGTTGCTAAGATGACAATTAGTTAACATTTTGATATTAATTATAGTAGGATTCATCTCCTTTAATAATATTCTTCCTTGAATATTAATTCCTATCCATATTTCATATTAATATTTTGAACATTACTTAAAGGATCAACTAGTTTTGTTTCATATATTAATTATTACTAGAAACGATCGACGAACCGATGGTTAATCGTTGATGGTTTCACAAGTAAGTAACTTCGGTTTATTAATGCACGCTCGTGGTTGATAAACTTAAGAGGGATTAATTTTGTTGGTTAAACCGAAACCGTTGGGTTGAGGTTATCAATCTCAATTGATTTCATCAAGGAGTTAAGAGATTAAATGCTACTATCAAGTCGGTATATGGCGGTGTTCTACACTTGACTAATAGTAAGGGTTATTAGTGAACGGTCGTTGTTAATAACTACCCTCGATGAATTGGATATACTCCTCGATTGAGTATTCGAGAGGGACAAAGTTATAGATATAACGATGATCGACTAAAATATATCAACAAGTGGAAAGTAATAATGCCAAGTTCTTTTGTCTTTGAAGTAAAACACATATATGTTGTTCATATTAGTTTTTAAATTAAATCATTCAATCCTAAAACCTCCCTTTTATTTACTAGTTTCATAAAAAGAGAATTATTCCTTTCCCCGTGGATACGAACTCTACTTCACCTTTACTACGTATTAGTGCTAGTATTGAATTTATTTTGACGCACCGTGACAAAGTGCTCGTCAAATTTGGCGCCGTTGCCGGGGAAAGGCAGTTATTTTTCTTTTTTTCTCATAAAAAAAAAATATAAAGAGCTTTTACCTTTTCTATTTTCTGAGCTTATATGAGTAAATGGATACCAACACATCATCGCTAGAGAGTCAAATTTCTAACTTGACTTTTTTAGTAAAGAAGTTTCTCTTATGTTCAAAAGTTCAAGATACCAAGACCTGCAACATTTGCATGTCACAAAGGCATCTTACGGATTTTTGCCCAAAGCTTCAAGAAGAATACTTTGAACAGAGTGATGATGTTGGTTTCCAAGAGAGGTATGATTCATTCTCCAACACATATAACTCATACTCAAGTACCTATTCTAGCATGTCCACTGAAGACATGATCCGAGCACTCACTATCAATGTGACAAAAATTCAACAAGATATGTCACAATACCCGCAAGAAACAGTGCTCAAAGAACTGAACTTGGAGAATCAATTGAAACAAGTGCCAAACATTGTGAACCACATTCCTCGTCCATCCACCAAATCCACAAATTAACCCCATACTCTTCCTATCCTCTCCATTTCTATACCAACAAAACCCACCAAATAACCTAAATTCTGAATTCCCTAACTCTCCCTACACAAAGTCCGAAATTTCCTCAACCAAAAAAGAAAGAAATGGCACCACAAAAGGGTTCCTCTTCTAGGACATCACAGACACAAGAACTAGGGATAGTGCTTTGGTTAGCTTGGGAGAGAGTTTTATGGAATACTCACATTCATATTCTTTATTCTTGTTAAAAAAAATTAATAAAAGCTTGTTAAGTTGAAAACCTGAAAGGGCAACTTAAGCAAAAATAAAGCAAAAATAAGAGTGAGTTTGTGAGGACTAAACAGAAAAAATGTGGGAAGGTGAGATGAAAACCCGAAAGGGCACCTAGGCAAAATGAGAGAATGAGAGAAAGTATTTTCTTTTATTTTTGCATGATCCTAAGGTTAACAATGAATAAAAAAGAGAGAATTTGATAGGAGATTTGGAGTTGAAGACCCATTCTTACTCTTTTATCCTTGGGGATACTTTGTGTTACGTTGTTCTATAAACACTCGTGGATGTGTGTGTTGATATTCTTGACATTTTAAGGACTTCTAGGACTGGATTTGATTTATTCGAGACGAGTAAAGGTTTAAGTGTGGGGGTGTTTGATATGCGCTAATTAGTAGTGCATAAGTGTATGTTTTTATGTTGGATATATATGTATTGTTTATCGTTTTATTTAGTTTATAAACATTTGTGTGATTTTAGTTGTAATTGTATTTTAAACTTCATTTGTAAGTTGTAAAGTAGAATTAGGAATTATGGTGTTGAAAAGGAGGACTTTGAAATGAAGAAAAAGAAGGTTGGACTGTCCATGAGCTAAAATCCGACCGGGTATGACACTTGACCCGGTCAGGTATGATTTAACAGACGAAACTGTCTGGAAAATCACTGGACCCGGTCGGGTCCCCTACTTGACCCGGTCGGGTCAGATGTGACACGAGACAAAACGACGTGCTGAAGATCACCAGAACGTGGAGGATATCTGATTTTGACCGGACCCGGTCGGGTACCCGGCCCAAGGTGTTGAAAAACACCTATAAATAGCACACTTTTCCTTCACAAATAATCATCCCTTCTTCCATACTCTTAAGCTCAGTTTAGAATAGCATTTCTTTATATTTTTTTAGCTGTGTTTAGTCTCCAAATGAGGAGCTAAACTTCCATTCTTGGTGTTGCTCTTGAAGCTTGTTGATTATTAAAGTTGTGAGTTATTTTCTTAACTTTTTCCCTTGAATATTAATTATCAGTTCTTTCCTTAATACTATCTCTATATTAATGTTGGGGAGTGTTGCTAAGATGACAATTAGTTAACATCTTGATATTAGTTAGAGTAGTATTTTCTTCCTCTATATTAATGTTGGAGAGTGTTGCTAAGATGACAATTAGTTAACATCTTGATATTAATTATAGTAGGATTCATCTCCTTTAATAATATTCTTCCTTGAATATTAATTAATTCCTATGCATATTTCATATTAATATTTTGAACATTACTTAAAGGATCAACTAGTTTTGTTTCATATATTAATTATTACTAGAAACGATCGACGAACCGATGGTTAATCGTTGATGGTTTCATAAGTAAGTAACTTGGGTTTATTAATGCACGGTCATGGTTGATAAACTTAAGAGAGATTAATTTTGTTGGTTAAACCGAAACCGTTGTGTTGAGGTTATCAATCTCAATTGATTTCATCAAGGAGTTAAGAGATTAAATGCTACTATCAAGTCGGTATGTGGCGGTGTGCTACACTTGACTAATAGTAAGAGTTATTAATGAACGG